CCACAGATGTGCCGTCCCAGGTCTGACTAACGACACATTCCGGCACCAGTCTGTGCTCCAAGAGCGACTGGTCAACCACACCCTGCCCTGGACAGACTACGACGATGACCACCCCTGGGGGAGTGCGGAGTGTAACGTGTTCAAAGGGAGGTTCGTTTCTTCATTCGTACGTTTTTTGTTTGTTCTTTCGTTCTTTTGTTTGTTCGTTATTTCGTTCGCATGTTCGTTCATTCGTTTGTTCATTTGTTCGTTCGTTCGTTCTTTACCATGTTAGTTTACTTGTTTGTTTGCTTTTTCGTTAGTTCCTTTGTTCATTTAGGTTGTTATCTGCCTATTCATTTGTTTGTTTGATTGATTAAAGAACATCACCTCTCACCATTTATTGTCTTTTTATGTTATTGGTGTTGCTACATTAAAGTGAACAAGCATCTATAACTCAAAGGTCTGTTCGTTCATATACAGCATGCTTTGTTTCCCAATTACTTTAGACTAGTAACTCGTGTCTTTTTTTCCCGACTCAAATAATGTTTGCTTGTTTCCAAAGAGGTTATATAATGCAATCACTAGAGCTCATAGCAGTGACGTCACTAGTATCAGACACGGGGGCCTTCTTAACCTCATCAACATGGGCGGTGTGCCTCCATTTACGTGAACAATCTAAAAACGCACCTCGTACCCTACGAGCTCTAGTATATTAAAACACCACCCTGGTTCCATATTTCAATGCAAGCTGGTAGATTTCCTCCCAAGACCACCTAGACGCATGTACGTGAGTCTCAAAAAGTACTCACTCATCAGATCTGTTGAACTGCGCATGTCTTGCTCTTGGGGGATGTTCAGCGTCCCAGAGTGGGCACACGCAGCTCCCGTTCGTTTACGTTGGGGACATCACTGCCACGTACGCTTGCACTAAATATAACCTCTGCATCCTTCCTAAATTTCCGTCATTCTTCCCCAGAAATGTCTCGAACTTTGACCCCAGTCACCCCAGTCCAGAAACCAATACGACAGAGCACTGTAACCGATGGGTCTACGACCAGTCAGTTTTTGAGAACTCTTTCGTTACACAGGTCAGTAAAGTTAAGGATTGTGCACACAGGATGTGTTTGTTTGACATGATGTCGTAGGTTTGGAGTTTGTTGTTTTGTTATGTCGGGTTGTTTTTTTGCTTTTTGGTGTGTTTTTTTGTTGTTGGTTTTTTTGTGTTTTTTTTGGGGGGTACAGAATTATTGGGTTTATTATGTGTTGGAGGAGGAGGAGGAGGAGAGGAGGGATGAAGAGGAGATGGGGGAGGAGGAAGAGGAAGAGGAGGAAGAGGAAAAGGAGGAGAGGGTGAGGAGAGGCAGGATAAGAAGGAGAAGGAGAAGACGGAGAAGGAGGAGGAGATGGAAGAGGAGAAGAAGGAAGAGCAGGAGGATGGTTAGGAGGAGGAAGATGGTGAGGAGGAGGAGGAGGAGGAGGAGGA